GTTTTCATGTGCACAATGAGCCAGGGAGGTCTCGGGCTGGACTCACCTGGACTCACCTGTCCTGTCATTGCAGCTGCAATGAAGACAGCGCAGACCTAGGTTGGCGCCTGCTCAGCTCCGTCCATGACAGCTTTTGGCTTCCTCGGTTGTTTTTCTAACACTAAATACTCCATGTACAATCCCTGACATGTGCTGATTTTGTAGCAAATATGGTTCTCAGGAGACTTCCACTTTCATGAAGATAGGGTATTCCCATTTTTCATTATTTTCTTAAGTAAAATTCTTTGATAATACACATAAAACAAACATAAGACTTTGAACATTGAAGAGAGATGGCATATAATCTTGGGAATTCATGACCTTGAAAATATCATAATGAGAGAGTTTTCTGGTTTTTTAAACTTTTTAGCCTCCTATATCCCAGAAACAAAACTAAAGATACTGATGACCCAAAAATACTGAGTGCAGAGAAAACAACAAAAGAAGAAAGGTATTTTAGGAAAGGTGAGGAGGGAAGAGAAGGGGAGGGAAGTAAAATGAGAATGGAAGGATGAAGGGCAGCCAAAGAAAACCAGGAAATGTGTAGCCTAGTAGGACAGAAAACATTTAGACAGTAAATTTCTCTACTCCATCCAAACACCATAGAAAGAACTTTTACCTCTGCTTCCATCTAAGCTAGCAAAGGCCCCCGGAGGGCCCAGAGCACTACCTTTGCAAACCTGTAGTAACCCTCTCTACCTACCCTTGTAGTGTCCGAGAAGGCAAATAGGAAGCTGTTACTTTAACCTCTGCCAGGTGGTAATATGTTCCCATCCCATAAAATTAATATGCCAGGTTAATATGTTCCCATCTCATAAGATGCCTGTACAGGCCTCATGGAGAGCAGCAATGAGCCATTATCCCTAATCCTCTCAGCCAGGGAGCTATCAGTGCAGGCCCAGCTCAGAACCAGAAATCCCACCATTGTGCAAAAGTATGAAGGAGCTCCCTACTGATTTCTGGAACCAACTGAAGCCAAGTAGGAATGTGGGACCACTACACTCACCAAACAGTAATGCAGCAGTGCCCCTCCCCTTTCCTGCACTAAAACAGATTTAAATAAGATCTTGAACCTAATTATATAATAAAAAATGTACAGCCAGGCATGGTGGCACACGCCTGTAATCCCAGCACTCAGAAGGCTGAGGCAGGAGGGTCACTGTGAGTTCGAGACCAGCCTGGGCTACATAAGTTGAGTTCCAGGTCAGGCTCAACTACATAGTGAGACCGTCTCAAAAA